TTTACCACAGACAGGCGAAGACGGAGAGGAGGATGAAGAAGAACTTGACTCAGTCGGAGCGTTGCCAGGCAGCGGTCTGGGTCCTCCTGCAATGCAAGTCTTAGCCTGATCAGCAAAGCATTTCGGAATATACTCATATGGGAGTCATATTCTTGTACTAAGGCCTGCACGACATCCACGTACGAAACCTAAACGAGCACCGAATCCTGCCTTTGCGCCACTATCTGCCGAAGGCCTCTTCGACAGTGCTGCTCAAGTCCAGGTAGAGGCTAGGGGTCTCGACGTCCGAGTGTATTATACACCACCGAAGTTCGCCGATGGGACTGTCATGGTTTGCCACCACGGTGCTGGGTACTCTGGCCTCAGCTTTGCGTGCTTTGCGAAGGAAGTGGTGGATATGACCAAGGGAGAGTGTGGTGTCCTAGCATTCGACGCAAGGCGGCATGGTAAGTACTTCTTGGAGTCCTGATGACCTCTCATATCTATTCTTTTTCTAGGAAAGACAACTGCTTCCTCTGATGACGAAAACCTTGCAATCGATGTTCTCGTCGACGATCTCTACGAACTTGTTCGGACAACATTCCCGAAGCCCAAAGACGCGCCTACACTCGTAGTGAGTATTTGAAAGGATATTTTGGAAGCCTTCCATTCATGTACCTAAGTTGATTGGTCATAGCATGGGAGGCTCAGTCATAACGAGAACGTGTCCTAAATTACAGGACGGTGGCTATCGAGTGACCGGCGTCACTGTCATAGACGTTGTAGAGGGTATGCCATATCCTTACCATCTAGATATCAACCCGCTGACATTGTTCTAGGCTCCGCTATTGATGCTCTTCCTCACATGCATAGTCTTCTGAACGCGCGTCCGGACGGTTTTGAGTCTTTAGAGGAAGCTATTGAATGGCAGTGAGTTATCTTCCCCGCTCGATCTATGTTACAGGGATCGATGATATGGCGTCGTAAGTGTGACAACAAATACGATCCGCAATGTACATTCGGCCAGGATATCCATTCCCTCGATCTTCAGACCGTCAGAGCCGAAATCGCCCCTCGTCCCGGCATATGTGTGGAGGACACCTTTGCGGTCCACGGCGCCTTACTGGACCAGTGCGCACTGTATTATTCGAGGCTTGGTTCTATCTTCACTGACCGCGCATCCAGGCTGGTTCAAAGGGTTATCTTCCACTTTCCTGGCCGCTCGAACGGCGAGATTGCTCGTCTTGGCTGGTCATGATCGCCTGGATAGGGAACTGATGATCGGCCAGATGCAAGGCAAGTTCCAACTGATGGTTATTCCGGGTGTCGGCCACATGGTTCAGGAAGTAAGTTCACCAGCAACAGTTTAGTTTATCACCTATTTACGTATCCTATTCGCATTTCCAGGACGATCCAACTCGGCTCGCCGAGATCATGGTGGAATTTTGGAGACGGAACGAGCGCGTTGTCGCCGGCGTAAAGAGAGTAGGCGAGGAATGAGGGTATCATTGATGGTATGAGTAATGGAACAATAAAGGGATGTGTACGATCGTCGGCTGGACGTTCAAAGGGCTAATGAGTGTCAAGTATGCCATGCATAGGCAAAGTAAGCGATGAGAAATACAATCATAGGTAGGAAGATACATAAGATATTAGGTTTGGCGTTGACTATCGATACTTTTTCGAGGAGGCTAATGATACAGTATAATTCCGGTCAAGTAGAGTCGTCGTAGCACTAGTCCTCAAAGCACGATTTGAGGCGCTGGGTCTCCGCGACGGAATGGAGAATATTTCGCCGACGATTCTGCGCTACTGTATCAACAAACTTTAGAACGAGTCATGAGGTTTTATGTTGCAGACTTACAGGCACCGGCGTCCTCCATACAAGTTGCCGAGTGCAGTTCTGCTATAGCTGCTTCAAGTTGCTATTCACGGGATGAGAAGGGATATCGGAACGGGTGAGATGATACCGTACCGCAGCAGTCTCATCGTAGACGGCGTTGTTGTGGAAGAAGCGGGCCCATGCCAGTAGTTCATCTTCAGAGACTGACGAACGCACTCTGCAGTGGGAAACATATAGTGTAAGGAAGTTGGTCTAACGAGGGTATATGAACACTGACATATGGGCGGCGAAGCGAATTCCTAGTCGAACCGCCTCGTTGGAGGTCTTGCGGTTGACAAAAAGGTGCTTGAGTGCCGCGACGATGAGGTTATCTGCTTTGTGCGTCGAAGGTTGTGGTGACGACTTCGTGTACGATTCCTATGGTAGCTGAGATGAGACGAGCAAGGAGCCCAGAGAAGTGTCTCAACTTACGACAGAACGGCGGAGACACTCGGCTTCATGGCAGTAACGCTTGGCTAAAGATTCGCTTGTGGAGCCAATAATGCTCTTCATATGGAAATCGAGCCTAGATCAAACGAAACGCCTAGTCAGTAAAGAGCTTAGGCGGATATAGAGGGGGGGCATACGTGACAAACGTCTTGCGGAGGTTGATGATTATTTCCTCATCGAAGAGCATCCAATTACTGAGCAGAAGATCAAGGTGAAGGATGGCTTGGTTCCAATGTTTCCGCGCAGACTTCATCCACGCTTTGGTGACTTCAGGTGAATACGACGAGGAACAAGACGAATTCGAGGAGTTGGATGATGAAGAGAGGGTAGACATTTCTGAATTGGCGGTGGAGGGGCGTCTGGGTTTCTTGGCCTGGGGTGAGACGGGAGGAGGGGAGAGGGAATATCGTTCGAAGGTTTTTGAGGGTGGCGGAACGCGGGACGCGTTGGCACGTTGAGGGAGAATCGGTGGCGTAGACGATAGTCGGAACGAGGTGAACTGGCCGGGACTCCGAGGTGAAGGAGATCCCACACCAGTGGGAGTTAAAATGTAGAGTTCTGATGTTCTCAGAGAGGGCGCCATGAAGGGTCCAATAGCCGACATCTTAGGACGCAGAAATATCAGGTGAATGGGAGCCTTGAAGGTGATACTTGCGGAGCCGACGTCGACGAGAAGTTGGTCTGACGAGCAGCTTCAAACCAAAAGTCTTCGTTTATATTTGAGTGGGTGACAGACAGGACCCTTTCCCCCAGGTTTCCCCATAAGCGGTGCGGGGAATGATCGGGGACTCGCCAGAGCACCACTGCAGCAAGGAGGAAATAGTCTGCGACATAGGAAAACGGCCGAATAATCCCCAATCATTTAAGCTCGTCAAACAGGGTGTCTGCAACTCGGAGTTTCTGGCAGGCTTTGGTTCGGAAAATGTCAGGCTACCCAAATGAACGCCATTTTTACCATGGAGGGCGCAGTACCTGGGATCGCTGGCCGCGATGGGACATCGAGGACGATTGATGGGAGGTTGGTACCAAAAAGGGATTGCCGCCGAGGTGGCAAGGCCACACTCTCTGGTATGATTCGACTGGTTTACTATAAGGGTAGTCGGTGAACTAACGTTCTCCGTGCTGCATAAACTGGGGACTTTACTGGAAGCTTTCTGGAATATTAATTAATCTGATTAGTTGAATTTGCGTAAGTACTACATATTGAGCACACCGAGGAAAGACCGCAGGTTTAGAAACCGACTTGAAATATTGAGTGAGTCTTGGACAGCCTCGTAGACGCCTCCAAGAAGGTTGGAGGTTTGTTTGTCGGACACAAACAATATACCCCTATCTATCGCCCCTAACGCCTCAAGACACTAAATAAACCTCTCCACGAGCGAGATGAGACCAGGAGACTGGGCCACAGTCTTTGGTTGATGCTCGTATGTAGAGTATATCTCATTCTCATTTCTTTTATGTAGTTTGTGGCCCATGCGATGGCCCCGGCGTGGGCTGTGGCGAGGGTGTGGCAACGCATGTGGCTCACGCACATAAATAACGTTCAGTTCTTCCTTCCATTCTTGAACTTCAACTATCACTTCAACCTTTCCTCCAACTATGCCTTCTATAGTAAGTTCTACCACTTGCATCGTCCGTCAGTGTAGCCTCACATCAGTGGCCATTTGTCATTAGACGTCGAATACCGCGACCAGTGAAATTAACAAGAGCGACTCGTCAGTACAGCTCATTAGCGGGCCAATAACAATCGGGCCGCTCCGAATTACCAAGGTGAACCTTCTTCTACTCCCTACGCGGCGCCTATCACAACTAGCTATATTTGCAGTGCCAAGCAATGGAAGGAGCGCAGTGTATGTATTCCCACATTGAAGCATCGCGACTGCATAAAAGCCTAAACGAAGTGGGTGTCTGTCTCTAATTTTTGGACCGTTTCTTATTGTTATTACTGCAAGATATGGGCGAATTTATGCTTGGATGAACCCCATCCGAACATGTGGCACCGGAAGTGCAAATTAGAGGATTTATCTCCACCCCGAGGGCGGTATATGATAACTTTCAATTCTCAGTTCCCGTCGGATCGGGACTATGGAAGTGCCATTGGCGTCTCAGTGACTCAGCTGATCCTTGGGCGCATGGCCATCGTGGATCCAGACGCCCGGCCGATACTTACAAGCGACGAGGACACAATCAAAGTGGTTATAATGGTAGGTGGCTTAGACGTGCAAACTAGCAAAAATACTAACCCATTGGTTGAACGTATTAGTGGAAAGACCAACAGGCGAAATTGGCCACAATTCGTGTCAGATGTCCACACGGAGAGATCTCAAGGTGGTATCTTGCGTACGAAGTGTGTTGTCGAGTGGCACAGTACTTCTGCTCTGTAAGTCTTTGGCTGTTCAGCTTGTACGGCTTGCCTACTGATAAATACTAATAGGCCCAATTTCCCGACCAAGTACAATTGTGGTCTTTCTTACAGAGCCTACGTTTGATTAGTCTGATCAGACAAGGGGACATATATAGAGCGCACATTGCAGCCGTAGATCTTTCAAGCATGTAATCGTATATGATAGAATCTTGTAGCCGTCTTACTTTTGTATCAACCATCTATGTCTCCTGAATCATATTAGGAGCAAGGGCCTTCCAATATCTAGTGCCGGACGAGAACTTCTAACGTGTAACTTTTTCCGTCGGCCTGATGGTCTAGTAGTATGATTCCTTGTTAGGGTCTAGTTGCGACAGCGACTTGCGATATCGAGGAGGTCCCGGGTTCAATTCCCGGTCAGGCCCGTCCATTTCTTTTTTTGCGTATTTGCTAGATGGCTCATCAATGCATCATCCTCTAGTGAGGAGCCTCTGTACCACCCAACGGTATGATTTCTACGCGGGAATCAAGTTTACATGGTATATCACAGCGCTTTACATATTTACTATATATATCCGTGGTTCCCAAAATCAAAAACCAGCCTTCCTCCGCGTCGGTCTCCTGCCACCGACTCTGGACTTGCCCTTCTCGCCATCGCCGTCCATGGTGCTGTCACCCAAAAGATCCATCAACCGCTGCCTTTCTTCGCGCTGTTTCGGATCCTCGTACTTCACACCAACAATCTCATCGCTCGGGGAACTTTGGCTAGTATCTGCGTTCATGTCGTCGGAGGCATGTCGACGATTTAGATTATAGGGCCCGAAGGGGTCAACGGCTGCCCCGGGCGCATTAGCGACACGTATTTCTGAGGTCTGTCTGGCCTGTCCCTAATGAAATAAGACAAACGTACACGTATTGAGTCCTCGAACGATCGGGGGTGGGGGATGCTCGCGAGAAACGTACCTTTGACCTCTGCGGCCGTGGTCTCTTGGCCCGCGTGCCAGCGGTCCCGCTAGTACCCGCCTGCGCGGGACCCTCGTCGCTTTCCCTCCGCTTCCCAAGCAGGCTCGTCAGGCTCTTCTGAAGGGCGATTGCGGCTTCTGCGGACATCTTGGTGGGCGACGAGGGATGTCGGCCCTGGGATCCTTTGGAGGGCGAGGACGGCACCGTTTGTCGGCCACTATCGGTGTCGCCAGGGAGCTTCATTGGGGAGGGCGAACTCGACGAGGGGATACGGAGGCTATCTCGTTGGTCGTCATCATGACATGAATTACTCCGATGTAGAGGGTCCGGTGAAGCGTGGAGGAGGGCGGCGCGGGGCTGAGAGGGGGATAGAGAGGGAGGGTTAGGGGAACCACGAGGAGGGTCTATTGGATCAACGCGATCCTTGTTCGCAGGAATCGCATCCAATGAAGCACCCGCCGATAGATTGCTTGCTGGAGCAACATGTAGCCCTTTGGCTGCCCCAGCACCCAACAGTCCATTCGGAACGCCGAATGCAGATTTTGGCAGAACTTCCGAAACTTGGGAAGGTACGGCGACGGCGAACTCCGGGGTCGCCAAAGTCGAATCGTCCTGTGTCCCACCTAGCCGGGCGTCAACGAAAGTCACTACCTCATGATCCTATCACCTACTATTCGTAATATCGACAATGGGGGACTCGATTGCCTTGCCCTTGCCCTTGTTTGTTTTGCCTGAGTCGAGAACAGCCTCTTCAATCGCACCACCTGGGCCGACTTCAAAGCCGGAGACAGGAATAATCTTCCCTGTCTTCGCTATACATTCGAGCCATCCCATGTTGACTACAGGGATGCCCCACTCTTTTGCCTTCTCGAATTTAGCGCCTATACCCGCCGGACATAGTAGATGCGTCGACCGCCGGGAAAAATTGGGCGAAACCAAGATACCTAAGTATACCGTAAATCAACCCAGGACGATTCCTGAACGACATCCACCTACCCAGTGCCTTGGCCAATCGCTTCACGCAACATACTTCGCTCTGATCTAAACCAGAGAGGCTTATAACGATCTTGCCTACGCCTATGCAGTATTAGCAGACATGTTATGCGGGGATGGGGTAAAGCAAACTAATTACCAGTTATGGATTGCTGAAGCTCCAAGGGAGCAAACGTGATATTCTCGGATGGTGAGACGATGCGCTCCTCGAACATACACCGCTCGAGCCAGCATTCCGTCCGATATTTCTGTCGTTCTGTTCGGGATATCTCGTCGTGATAATACTTGCTTCCGCTAGCGAATAGATATGTACCTAAGGACGCAGCGAAATTATACAGGCACACTCACCTGACGAGCCTTACCAAGATGTAATCGACTTCAACATCGGCAGCAGCTTTCTCTCCAACCAGCCGCCCGCCTTGACTCTCGATGGCCTCGCGAACACTGGAACAGCTAGCCTCTCCGAGGGCACGGAATATCTTGCCTGAATATAGCAACCCAGGCACAGCTGGGGCTTGCTCGGACTCTAACATCTGAACATCGGCGGCCTCAGGTATGGGGGCCAGCGGTTCGAGAGGACCGCAATGATCCTCCAGCGCGCCGATCCCAGGAGACGGGCTCCGCGACGACGGCGGGAGTGGAGCCCTCTGGGGAGAGGACGACGGGCCGGGCTCCCCAGGACTCTCAACAACGCCATTACGCGGGCCATCCTTACCGTAAGAAGCGCCTTTTGACAGCGCAAGCGCAGGTATCGTCTTCGTGCGTCTGAGCCCCTGCGAGGACGGTTCGGCGAATGAGTTGGCACGTCGGAATTTGTCTATGACGCTCTTCCTCTGGCCATCCTGAGAAGGTGACTCTGGCTCCGCGCCAATGTGAGCCATGATACTTCGGACTTTCGTCGGGCTCCTGCCCAGCTTTCCCCCCGGACTAATCTCATAGCCACGCACTTTTAGCAAGCTCTCCCATAGTTGAAGTGTAACTGCTGGGAGCACTTTCACTGAGGCCGCCTCTTCGGGATCTTGTTCGTCGCCACGGGGTTTAGGTGCAATTATTGAAGATGAATCTGCTAGTGACGATGGTATCGAATCTTCGAAAACTGTAGTAGGTTCTAAAAGAGGAATATGAAAAGTCTTGAAGGGGACATGAATGTGAGTGGAGTACATACGCGCAGTAATTGTCTTGCGTTCAGGCCGTGGTCTCCGCACTTGGTACTTGTCTTCGTCAAATCTACCACCAAACTCTAGAGAGTCCCAGAACCACTCCTCCCAGACCAGAAGAATGGGGGGCTTTGCTTCGCCGGTCGAGTTGAACTTCTCGGCGTATCGCATCTTGTCCGTCTCCTCTTCCCCTGAGCAAAGAAGATGCGTAACGCGCACAGGTCTCTCGAGATTTTTCACATACGTGCCACCGTGTTCAGTGACCAGTCTGTGGATCTGCGTGCGCCTCGTTATATCCGTAATCCCGGACGGGCATAGGACAATGTCCGAGAACACAGGCAGCCTGTGCTTATTCGTCATCTAAGAACAAACGTCAAACAGCTGGGCACCATGGAGAGGTGAGACTCGCCTCCGCCACGTCTACGTCGTCCCCGCGCAGCCAGACTTGAAAGCACTCCGTTATCCACGACGGCTGGAGTATCGGAATCTTACGTTCCACGGCACACTAGCACTGAAATGAGACGAGCGCAGGATGAAGCGCAAGCCGGCGTACCATGTATTTTGCTCCGCCGTGGCCAACGGCGACGAGATGCGTAACCCTGTCCGTAAACGCTGACATTGCAAGGGCGCCCAATTCTACGGCTTGTTTGAATAGCGTCGGCTGCACGCTCGTCCGTCAGTCGATCGGAAGCTAGTGGTTCAAGTCGCCACGCACCTTGTCAGCGATTCCCGTAGCACAAACGACCACGCCACGCAGCGGCCTCGGAGTGTAGTCATTGTAGTTGTCGTCGCTCCCAAACTGGCTTTCGTCTACCAAACAAACGCTTTCCTCCGCGCGCAGGGCATTCTTGCGTGAATTGGATTGCGACGGCTGTGCGGGTCGTAGCTTGACATTGGGGACCTGTAAACGCGTTTCTTAGAATCCGCAGAGTATATCACCCAGAAAACTCGTACCTTTGCGGATTTATTACTGCGCCGTCGCATGGATGTTGCAATTCAGAGACATTCTCACTAAGAGTAAAGGACATTTCCCGCCACCATCCATCACGTGATTGCATGAGGGCTGGTCAGTTCGCGTCGAATTACGATCCCGAAACGGTTCTAGCTAACAGAGCAATATATTCAAATCTTTGAGATATTTATAGCAGGCCAGACTTTGAGAATGGGTTCAAAGCTCTACATATCTTCGCGATCGGGGGCACTGGAGGAACTCGTCTCATTAAAGTAACAGCCAAGACGGGATTAAGTCAATTTATGACAGTACATGGACCGGATTGGGGAGCAGAATTCTGCGATAACACCCATGACATGGACTTGATATGGTGGAAACAAAGTAAACAGGATGAGAGAAATAAGTAACTACGCAGAGCAAGAAAAGAAAAGGGAGCCAGCCGGACTCGACTACAGAGTACATCCGGAAGTGTAACAAGGGAAATCAAAGAACTTCATAGTGAATCATGAAGGCACGCGTATCAGCGTCGTCAGGGGAATCGAGGTCAAGAAGACCAAAAATGCGGATCTTGCGTAGGGTGTCAAAGGCATGGAGGAATCCCTCAGGCTCATTGATATTTTCGGTATCGAGTCCAAGGCATCGGAACTTTGGGTACATTCAATGTCTCTGTCAGCCAATGATATAGCCTGGCAATACTCACGCGCCACAAGTGATTCACAATGGTCCAGGCAGCCGTGTGCGCGAGCGCCCATTTTGGCAAGGTGTCCCCCTCATAAGTTCTGACTGGCAGTCGGATGATATCAGCGGAATCAGGCAGTTTCTCAATGTCCCAGGCCTAATAATCGCGCATTTGCATTAGACAATTTGCAAGCACATTCGGATTGAACCACATACCCCAACGTTCAGAGTCAACCAAGGTAATCGACAATCAGCCAAGGGACGTGTCTCTGAGTCCTCGAGGTCCGCACGTCCCAGGAGGACATCGATAAGAGCGACGCCAGGAAGCCCTGCATTGTTCAGCGAATTAAAGGATACGGAATGCTGACCTTGTCTAGATGGATCATGGACCATACTATCAATGGCCAGAGCGTGTTCCGCATCAACGTGAGGGTACTCTGCAAGTTCTCCATCGCGAGAGAATGACTGTTCCGGAAGCAGATCAGTACGCGTACTAACGGCGTGGATGGAATGGGCACACCCGCTTTACGCGCTTTCTGAAGTCCCGTTCTCCGCATGCATATGATGCTCCTGTTCGCACCCTCTAATCATGAACCAGTCAGTCAACGGGAACGAAGAATTCAAGACTACCATGCCTGGTACGTTCCGGTCCTTGGGATTGGAGTAGTTGCCAATCTGTCAA